GCCATAAACAGCTCATTAGATGGGCCTTCTAATCAAGTTGCCTGCCAGTTGCCGTTGACAACTTTTTCTTTCTGGTTTTTGATTTGATTTGATTTGGGCCTTGGGTAGAACCAACAGCCCAGCCCCATCTGCATATCAATGTCATCGGAATTGGACTCGGACTTTCGCTAATTGAAAGCGGACAAGCGGCAGCCAGCAGTTCTCTCTGCAGTCCGTTTCGTCTGCTCCGTCATTGCAGTGCTGCGACACAATTAAGCCCAGAGTAGAGTCAGTCGCTTGGCCCCAACCTCAAAAGCGACGCCATGTAATGGTGTGGGGGCGGGGGGGCAGGCAGGAGGGAGGGTACACAAAAAAAAAAGAGACTCTTCTTCAGTTGCTGGTCGCGCACTTCGAGTCACAAATTTAGAAAACCTTTTGAGGGCACTTTCATTTACCATTTCTTCTGCTGTTGCTGCTGCTGTTTTTGTTGCTGCTGTTTTTGTTGTTGCTGCTGCTGCTGTTGATTTTTTCGCTTGTATTGAAATTACTTTGGCTTGGCTTGGCTTTCGTTCGTTCGTTCGATGGATGCGTTCGCCCATTGAATGCGAAATGAGAGTGGAGCCGGACAAAAGGCGGCAGTCAACTCGTAGGCAGGAACTCGGCCCGAGTCCCGGGTTGGGGGTGTGTGTTGGGGCTGGGCTTTAACGGTCAAGAGAGCTAGCTGCCTATTGTGTGCGGGGGCCGCTGTACGTGAATGAATTCATAAAGAAATAAAGCCAAAAAGCAGTCGCAGCAGCAACAGCAGCAACAGCAGCAGCAGCAGGAGCCAACCGCAGCGCGAGGCAGCATGAAAAATTGAATGTAATGCGGCAAATGAAATTCAATAGCGTCAAACGCAAACGCAAACTCCAAAACCAAATCCCAGCAATTCCACATGCCGAATTCATATTGGTGTTGGGACCTCTGCATTTATTCAGTTTAAACAAAATGAAATTGTCCGCACGCATTTTGCATATAATCAGAGTACAGCCCAACCAACAACCACAAGGGGTGCGGGGAGGGGATAGAGGGTTGCCGGCATTTGCCACTTACTGCAGCAATATTAGCGACTAACTATAAGCTGATTTTTGAAAATCGATTAGTTCGACGGCCGCACGCAATGAATGCGGAAACGGAGGAGTCGCCTGTGGCCACCTTTCCACTCTGCCACACCACCACCCAACCACCCAACCCCCCGCCCGCCCACTTGCTCTGTCACTGTCATTTTATTGACAGTTGGCGCGTGTGAACAGAGTAGCCTCCTTCTCCACCCACCTTTCTACCTTCAGGCACGCCGCCGTCCTACTCCTACACACACTGACACACAAAAAGCAGGCAGCTTTGATTATTCCAGGCACACAGAGACGCTTTCATGCATAATCTCACCAACAACAATTACAAGCATAAATACTACAACAATTATACCAAAGCACTTACAACAACAACAACAACACACCAAGCATACATACACACACCACACATACATGTAAAAGAAAAACGAAGAAAAGTCGTGAAGGTTTCGCTGTTACACGTCCCCCCCCCGTCTATCGAGAAAACACCAAAAGAAAAGCGAAATTTCGTGAAGGAGACATTGACTTGGCAGCGACAAAACGTTGGTAATCAAATAATTTCATGCCTTTAATTGTCTACCTGCGGAAGGGGCAGCAAAGAGAGCGAGAGAGGGAGGGCGGGCAGAGGGAGTGCTACAGGGGCAGAGGGTGGGCTGAGGGAGTGCTAAAGGGGCAGAGGGAGTTGGCTTAGTGAGGATAATTGGATTGGTTAAATGAGCAGCGGCACAATAATGAGCGTTAAGTGAACAATGTGATAAGGAAGGGGTAGCTGGCAAGGGGTAAGGGGTTCTTGGGCGGCTAAGAGAGAGGGGAGGGCTTTACAGATGAACGCCAGTTAACGTGAAATGCAAATGAAAATGGATACAGGCGCGGATAAGGTGAAATGGTAATGGGAATGAGCACGAATTGTGAAATGATAAAAGTGCAAAGAGAAAAAAACTTCATGCAATTAAGGAAAAGTGCGGCTTAAAAACTCAGATTCGTATGAATAATTGAGCGATAGTAGACCAAAGATCCCTGGCCTGGCCCTTTGTTGTGCTTTTCCGGAACGAAAACTATAGCCAAGCAGCACTTAAACGTTTGACATGCATTATTAATGGCCGAAACGAGCGACGCCGACAGGCGGCAGGAAAACTCTCAATTAGAGTTTTGCCAATCGCTTGGCAAAGATTTTCAGCGGGTGGCCCATTTAGCAGAGCAACGCAACAGCAACAGCAACAAGCCAACGGAAAACAGGGAAAATTAATAAACCGGAAAAACTTTTGGCAGCAGCAACAAACCCATCCTCACCCCCCCGCGCGCGCTTCACATAAGCCGCAGTCTAAGCGGTTGCGAGCAAGTTGAGCAAAAATTAATTAGCCAAATGGCGCAAGGGCAGGGAGGGAAGGGAGCGAAGGGAGGCGACTCCTTAACAGATTTGTTTATGAAAATATTTGGTTGTTGGGGGGGGCGGGGCGGTCAGAAAGAAGATTCTGATTATTCTGCTGCGAGTGGGCTGTCAAGTGTTGATTTGATGGTGTTTGGTTTCTGGCCCCCAACCTAACCAGTTTTCCACCTGAGTGACCCCATTACGACACGCCGCCCTGCCGCCCTGCCGCCCAAATGTCAGTGTGTATTAAGCCATTAAAATGCTAAATTATATGGTGCTTGAACTTGCCTTTGCAGTGCAGCCAGTGCAACGCAACGCAACTCTTTCATGCCCTTTGGCTGCCGTTGGCTCCGACTTTGACTGCGACTTGAACGCTTCAAAAATAGTTAAAGTTTAGCAGAGCGAAAATGTTTGTTTGTTTTAGTTGTTGCCTTGAATGAAAGTTTATTTGTTTTTTTTTTGTTTTGTTTTGTTTCTAGTCATCTCTTTGTTCAGTGAGCAGAGTGCAGAGCAGAGACTTTTTGGTTGTTTTTTTTTTTTTTGCACATTACATAAAATTTCGTAACATTCTGCGGGGCACGAGAGATGGCAAAAGTCTCTAAGCGCCTGCAGACACTGTTCCAGTCTCAGTCTCAGTCTCAGTTTTCGAGTCGAGTCGAGTCAAGACTCTAGAGTCGTTTTCGGTTTCGGTGTGAGTTTGTCTTTCGGCATTGGGCTATGAAGATTGGGAACTTGAAGAAAACTCCACTGACCTGTTAACAGAAATGCTTTGCAGAGACTTACTTTGGCCAATGGCAGAGGCGGAGGCAGAGCAACAACAACAACAACAACAACAACCTGCGAAGAAAGTTATAGACAGCCAGCAACACGGCCAAGACAGCTTGACTACAGTAAAAACAACTTTTGCCCAACTGCAAGAAGAGCCAATACAAAAACGAGTAGAACACGTTTTACTGTTGCTTGGCGTCGCTGCCGGCATCGTCCGTCCGTCCGTCCGTCCCTCCGCTGTCAACCAATTTTCATGGGAAAGCTCTGGCTCTGGCTTTGACTCTGACTTTGACTTGGAGCAGTGCAGTGCAGTGCAGTGACTGTCAATTTTCTTCATCCCGGACATTGAAAATGAAACGCCAGTCAGGGCAAATCACATTAACTACGAGAGTACACTGTCCGTCCGTCCGTCCGTCCGTCCATCTATCGGTGATTATATTTCTATGCAACAGCAACAACAACAACAAAAAAAAAAAAACCAACCATTTTCCACGCTCTTTTGTTGTTGTTACTATTTTTTGTGTCTCTGTACGATTGCGATTTCACTTTGATGTGTTGGTGGGTCGGCGGTCGCAGCACAGAAATTAGCACTTGAGGAATGCCCGCTCGCACACCTGTATCCCACCTGTATGCATACGTATATTTATGTAAATACATATATATATGTATATCCATAATATGCGAATTGAACGGATCGAGGCCAGGAGGCGGAATGCGGAATGGGGTTAGGGTGCGGAACGATGACTGAATAAAATCAATATAGCAATATAGCACTATGTGATGAATTTCAGGTAGAAGTTAAAACATATTACTGGTTATTCCTACAGGGCCGAAGAGGGAAGAAGCTAAGCGACGGACGGGGCATAAAGCTAAGAACTGGGCACAGTCTACCGACTAGAATATACCCGATTAATTATATGGGTTATATGTACCTACACTGGTGTACAGTGTATAGCTATAAAAATTATTGTTCTATAGCTTTTCCCCAAACAACCAGGAACTGGGGGGGGGGACTGGGGGGTTTCCCCTTAACTCTTCTTTAAATGGCACAAAACCCAAATAAAACCAAATTAAGTTTATGGCTTACATTATCTGAATGAAATCAAGTAGGCTACTGCACTCTTTCCCCATAGACCGACCAGTCCAGTCCAGTCCAGTCCAGACCCTCCATACCGTTCATGGAGCTCGCTCGCTCGCTCGGTCGTCTTAGATCATAATTTATGAGGCGCTCGAGAAGTTGTCAGAGACAAGCTGACAAGCCGCTAACTGTTATAGCCCGGCCCTGGCCGTTTAGTGTGCCAAATACTTTCCCAGAGTGGTCGCCGCAGCCCCGACACCGCCTCCAATGAATTGTAGAATCAAGTCAAGAGAGTGAGAAATGTGTAGATGGCATGGCAGCAGAAGAGAGTGCCGCATGAAAGCAAATGAAATGTAACTGAAGCGAGCTTCGGGCCGAGCTTCGGGCCAAGCTTTGGTGGCGCCTCTGCACGGCAGCTGGCAGTTGGTAAGCGGAGGCCAGAGCCAGCGATCAGTTGAAGACGCTCAGTCGTGCGAGACAGTTGTGTGCGCGGCGGTGTGAAAATTGAACGAAGCTCGAGCCCAGAATTCCACAATCAAATCGGAGATATACACTTCCCCCAGTAGCGCCATAAAACAGGTAAAGAGCTGCGACTGCGCTGCAACTGCGCTGCGGCAGAGCCGCATAAAAAAAAAAAAACAAAAAAAGAAAGTCTGTCCAAGAATCACGTAGTCGAGGGGGGGCCTCAAAACCATCCAAGAAGCGATCCAGCCACGACAGTCTTCATTCGCAACTCGAGGAGTGCGCAACGGTGCAAACTTAATCTGTTTATCGGTTGTTATCGTGTGTGTGTGTGTACCGCCGTACCGACTATCGATTATTTATCGCTTGTACTGAGTCAAGGTTAGCATTTTGGATAAAAGCATGGCATAAAAGCCGAGAGGATACCAAGCGAATGGGAGGGATCTATTCCCACTTTAGTTAGAACTTGGATACAGAAAAAAAAAAAAAACACTGAGAGGATAATCCGCAATAGAGTGAGCACAGCATACTGGTAGATGTCCGTAGATTCTTGTTGAATATACTGTGAATAAAAATCACTGTGAAATCCGACACGAAAATCAGCCCGGTGTGTGCCCCTGTGCCCTCGAACCCTCCTCCAGCGCTGTGTGAAATCTAAATCCTTGGATGCAACGTTCTTTCACCGGGAGAACGGGGTATCTGCCCTCGCAACGGCGGCCGAACGACCCATAAAGCTTTTGGCCTTGTGCTCGGACAGAAACGTCTTCGGCAGGAACTTTTAATTGATTTTCAACTACGAGTAGTAGAAAAAGGCAACTAGCACTTGCAGAGCGGACTCTTAGCTCGCTTGGTCATAAATTGTATCTGCAGCAATTTAGGAGGCACCACCACCAACCATCGTGCTGCTCGCCTGGCCTCCTCCATTCCCCCCGCTTTTTATGTGCTCTATTTTCACATATGCTGCTGCTGCTTCTGCTGTTCTTGATGTTTGCTGGGAGGGGGTTCTGCGGTCAGCAGACAGCCAAACCCAAACCCAAACTCAAACCAAACCGAACAGAAAGAGTACCCAGTTGAGTAATCATCTCTCATGGCTCTCAGGTTTCTTCCTCCAAGCTGACCTACATACGGAACGACTCGAAGCAGTTAATTTAAGTGTTTCCTGGCCAGCATCAACAGCAGCAGCAGCAGCAGCAGCAACAGCAGCAAGCAGCCTCAACCAGTTCCAGTTCCAAGTTATAGTTTACACTGTTTACACTGCCCAGCACTTTGCTGCCAAAACAAAACATACTCAAGGCTTTGGAGACGCGGGGCGGGTGGGTGGTGGGTACTGGTCTCCAGCAAGGACAAGCTATTAACAGAGGAATTCTGCTGTTGGCTGGCGAAATTTGAGTGGCCCCTGGCCCAGCTCCCAATTCATTTGCCACTTTTCCACACATTCTTCAACAGTTTTTTTCGGTTTTGTTTTGTTTTGTTTTGAGTGTTTTATTTTTATACCTTGCCTTAGGAACGGGGGGTATACAGATATTGTCCAGGAGTTTGCAACAAGCAACGAATGGGTGAAGTACTGAAGAATCTGCCAGAGAAAAGAACGATCGCAGGTTGATCTTTTTCGATCTTTGAATATAATTCAATCTAAATTTAATGCTCGATCCACATTGGACTACATCATTGACTATATCTACAAGGGTATTCTGCTGCTCATTCTTTATATTTTGTGCTGTTGCTTCGCCCTCACCAGAAGTTAGTTCATGACACAAAATGGTAAAGTTTATGCAGCTTGTCAGTCATGGCTAGACCCAGTCCCGTCCATTACCTTTCGCCTTGAGGGCATACCGCCACCCCTCTGTGGCAGTCTCCCGTCCCACGAAGGCTGCTTAGTGGCTGTTCCGCCAGGTGACGCTGACGGTGACGCTGACGCGACGATAACAAAGTCCTAATTCATGTGACGTGCGAATGCATGCGAAAGAGGGCCCCAAAAGAGGGAGAACTTTTGCGTATATACAGTAGAGACTCTAACGAAATGCACCTACTTCCAACCAATAGGGGGAGCATTATTCATGCTGCAAAATCTCTACGCCTTGAAGTCGCCTACTCTATTTTTGGGGGTGGTGGTGGGGCTTATTTTTCTATTTTACCTTTCGGTGGGTGGCATAGTCTTGGAGAATTAACTGCCACGCAGGAGGAGACACAGAAGCTGCAGGAGTTGCAGCCAGGCGGCCCTGCCCTCCGCCTACGTGCAACATATGAGACAAAGTTGAACAAAAACAAGAGGAGACAATGGCGGCTGGTGGTGGTGGCCTGCCTGCTGCCACATGCAAATCCTGTCTGCACGTGGCCTTTTGTGCGGGCGGGGAGGGGGGCCCTGCATATTTATTGATATGACGCTGATAGGACAATGCGGCCACAGAGCGGTGGGAGTGAGGGGAACCTCATCAAGTGGCAGCTGCTGCTTCGCTTCAGGCATTGCCTTCAATAGATTCACTCCGCTTTTGCCCCAACCCTCCCCCACACCACAACCTAACTCTGAGCTGGAGCTTAAGTAATTTTTGCTGCCTGTGTGACGTGCAAGTGCACAGCAAACACTCCACAGAGCCGTCATACACCCCTCATGGAACCCCTCATGGAACCCTCTCATCCCCCCTCTCCACTCTCCACTGTTCTGTATGACTACCATCTTCCAGCTATCATCTCCCAGCTCCATCAGCATCACGCACATGAATATTAATGTAAAATGCACACACGGTTAGCTGCGTTTTTCTATGGGGAGGGCGGGGGCGAGGCATTAAAAAATATATAGTGGGAGCCAGTGTTCCATATGAGTTAGTCCCTACAATAGACGGCAGCAACAATAAGAAGAGCACAAAGATAAGGCAGACGAAGCGGTAGATATAGAAGAACTAGAACTAGAGGAAGAGGAAAAAGTGCGAGCAGAAAAAGTGCAGGAGAGAGAGAGAGAGAGAAGGCGTGGAGAGCGCCAAGCAGTTGCCAAAGAACAGAAAGGTTGCCCTTGCCTCTGCCTGCATCTCCATCCCCATCTCCTGCATCTCTTTCTTCCACTCAAGCTTGTCAGAAGTTTTGCATTGCATTGTTGCTCTCTTCCCCCACTTTGAGTCTTGCCACTCTTCTTGCTCTTCTTGCGCTTCTTTCTCCTCTTGTTCTTTCCATTCTTGTTGCTGCGGCATGACGCGTGAAATGTTCAGAGTTCGGTGGGTAGATAAAAGAGCCCATTGTAGGGGGGTTGGGTTGTCGGTACTGGAGGTGTTGTCAAGGCAGCAGCAGGAGACTTGGGAGGTGGGAGAAAGTAAATGCAATTTCCACAAGCCTTCAATAGGCAGGAGTTTATAAGTACTTGGAAACAGTAGACAGGCGGGGAGGAGGGAGTAGACAGGCGGCATGCAGCTACAGTGGATGCCACCAAAGTGATACCAAAACTTTATGAATATGCACGAGAGTGTGTGTGCTGTGTGTGTGTTCTCTCTCTGTGTGTGTGGTTAAGGGGAAATTGAAAGTGGGAAAACTATTTGGCATCATTGAGCTTCATGGCTGCTTATCTTTAATCCCCATTAAAAGGATGCCCCTTAAGCGTTGTAAGTGCTTCCATGAATCAGTTCATGTTAAGTGAAATAAGCGAACAATTCCACTTCCCATGCAACTCCACCCACTAAGGTTTCCATCACTCATTTGCCATTGATGACACCCACTGTATTTGGGCTTAGTTTACCCAACGCCTTGCCCAGGTTGTCTATCATCATATTTAGTCTAAGAACCACTCGCCCCCACCACCCACTCCCACCCACCACTTCCACTTCCTTCTCCCCTTTGCCAGCGGCATTGGTATTTAATAAACACCGCTCAAGAGCTTCGCTCAGCAAAACTTTTAATTAAGCAGAGCAGAGCAGAGCTGAGTGGAGCGGAGCGGAGCAGAGCAGAGCCCCAGTTGGTGGCTCCTCTTTCGCGTGGCAGCTTCCATCTGCCGCCTGGCAACCCCACAGTCTTGAGGCATTGGGACGCCATAAAACTGCGACTCGACGGCTTATCAGAGCCAAAGCAAAGTCATCGGCAAGGCCCTAAGACCCGTAATTCAATCCCCACTTGGAGTCGGGGGCTGTGCTGTCAAAAGTTGCGCTCTGTAGATGATGTTGCTGCTGCTGCTGCTGTTGTTGCCTCTTGCAGTTGGCCAGTGGGTCACTGGGTTTTCACTTTAGTTTATGGCCACTTTGCCGTTTGCTTATCAGCTCTGGACTCGATTTACAGAAAACGTTTTATCCATTTTTCAATAAGCGGCAACAGCAGCAGCAGCGACACCAACAGTTGCTGGCGGCTGCAACAAATCGTTGCGGCAGGCGAACAAGTTTTGGGTAAAACGTCGTTGCGTCGTCGTCGCCACAGTCGGCGTCGCTTTCACTTGGCCAAGAGGCTAAGGCCGCAGCAGGCCGCACTTTACACTGCAACAAAAGCAGCAGCAGGCAAAGGAATGGATCGCGGCTGTTGGATACCCTTTGGCAGCATTAATGGTATAGGGATTCGATCCTACCCTGTGTGCCAGGGTACAAAAGCAGCAAACAACAACGACAATGACAACAATTGCTGCCCCAGCTGCTGCTACTGCTGCCCCGGCCCCAGCTGCTGCCCCTGCTGCTACTCCTGCTGCGGTTGTTGGTCATAGCCGCTGGCTGTTGGCCGTGCTGATTGTCATGACTAAAAAGCCACCAAAAAGCAACAGCAACAATGGCAACACAATGAAATTTCTTCAAACCGAAACGGGCAATACCCTGCGTAGATAAAGGACTTCCATTGGCCATTGTTATGGTGCGGGGAGGGCCCAACACTATAGAGAAACGTTGCTGCCCGATGTGGTGTGCATCCATCAGTGCCTTTACCTGCCACTGTGGCGGCTTCCTCAACGGCGCCTGGAGCTGTACAAAGAGGTGTTGTTGCTGTTGTTACTGTCGCTGCTGCTGTTGCTGCTGTTGCTGTGTGTCAAGTGCCAGCAAATGGACATGTGGACACTGCCGGCGGCAACTTTGAGGCGTAGCTCAAAAACATGTTTACATTCGCACTCCAACATACACAAACACACACATAGAAGCACACACACACACATATATACAGACACAAGAGACTCTCTTTTGTCTGCTTTCTTTGCGGGCTTAGTGGCTGGCTTATTGACTGAATGACTGAATGACTGAATGACTGCTGGCTGCTGGCCATTGTCGCTGCTGCGCCAGTTGACTTTTGCTCACTAAATATGTAATTTTCGATGCCATGAAAAAGAAAGTGTAGTGTTGCCTCCTGCAACCAGTTAGTGGTAAATTGGGGTCAAGTCAGCCGCAGCAAAAAGTAAAAGTTCTCCGTACCAAAAGAAAACTGATTTCTCATGCCAGTCCCTCCCCCTCCTTCTCTCTGTGTGTACTCCTTGCAGATCTGAAGATAAGACAGAATGAAGTTCGTGATATTGCTGTGCGTGCTGAGTGCGCTGCTCCTGCAGATCGAGGCCTCGCCGGTGCAGTTACTCTCCAGAAGCGAACGGGCTGTCGCCCGCCAGCAGGCGGTCAACAATGATGTGGCTCCAGCCGCGGCACCCGCCAGCGATGACGATGATGATGACGATGACGAGGACGATGATGATGATGAGCCCGATCTAGGAGATCTGATCGATGATGATGATGGTATGTAGAGGGTTTGAATTAGTTTTGTACCCCAGCACTGGCCCACTGGCAACCACAATCAGCACCAGCCCACTGGCACCAGCACCACCAACCCACCAACCAGATCACCAACCAGACCACCAACCAGACCACCAATGCCCAACAGCACCAACTAGCAAGCCAATGCAATGCATGAACTGAGCACCGAGCAAATTGCACTCTGAACTGCCACCTGCCACCAGCCACCTGCGATCGCGATCTTGTCCAGCCTTTTTATTAACCAGAATTTTTTGACTCTTCTGGTCCCTTCCCTTGGGTAACAAAGTTCTTTTGATTTCGGGACTTTCAGATGATGATGAGGAGGAGGACGATGACGATGAGGAGGAGGATGACACGCCACAGGGACAAGCAGCGCCAGTGGCCGCCGCCAGCGATGATGATGAGGAGGATGATGATGATGACGATTATCTAGACAGGCTGTTCGACGACATCCTGGGAGGTAAGTGTGTGCCTACTAGGTTGAGCCAAAAAAGAGGTGTTTTTTTTTTAATTTAAACGGGAAACAACCCCCTTAATTTTTTAATCTTGGGTTAAAAAATTGTTTTTGTGTTTTTTTTTTAATTCTAAAAAATGTTGTAGAGTTTGCTACCGAACTATACAAATTTTTAAACTAAGAAAATGTTATTTTGTTTTCTAAAAAAAAAAAAAGAATAAGAGGATGTCCGCTTAAAAAGAAAAAAAAAATATTTTTGGTTAAATTTTGGCCCAGCCTAGTGTTTACCTTTTCCTATTTGATAACCCACATCAACTTTTTTGCAACCGCCCTTAGATGATGATGATGAGGATGACGATGATGAGGTCGCTCCCGCTGCCAGTGCCCAGCAGAGCTCCGTTGCCGCCTCACCTGCCCAGGCCTTGGAGGAGGTGGCACCCGCCGCCGCCTCCTCTGTCAGCTCTGGCATCTCCGATGGCGTGGATCTGCCCGCCGAGTCTGGCAACGCTGTGGAGGCCGCCTCCGGCAATGTCGAGGACATTTCATCGGCGGCTGCGGCAGCACCTGCCACGGCTGCATCCAGCGGCAGCAACAACGAAGGTGAACAAAATGTTTTTTACGATGAAGATGCACTTGTAGATGGTATTAGTGGTGGCACAACTAGTTTAAGTAGCACCCATGCAATTGACGAACAACAGAAACAAACAAACGCACAACAAGTACTGCAACAGCAACAATTGCAACTGCAACAGCAGCAGGCCACACAGTCTGCAGCGATCACGGGCCAAATATCATCACAGCATCACAGTACAAGCACAGTCACGCAGAACACTCTAACCAACAGTATCCATACAAGTAATAATAATAATAATAATAACAACCATATAGTAGTCACCGGACCAGCGGCTCTGGGTAAGCCCGCTCCGGCGGCTGATCCTGGGGCTGTTGCTCCTGGCGGCGCCGACAACAATAAAAATAACAACAACAACAACAACGCTGACGACGATGACGACGAGTACGATGAGGACGATGAGGAAGATGATGATGATGATGATGATATTGATGATGGAGTCGATGAAATTGGTGAAATTGCAGGTTTAGCTGGCGGCGACGACGACGAGGAGGCCGACGATGATGAGGACGACGACGATGATGATATCATTGGTGATGATATCATTGAGGCCCGGCGCGAAGCACGTGAGTCCAAGCCCAAGTCAGCAACAGCCACAAAAACAGCCAAAGTCAAGAAATCTACAAGTCCCTCGAAGAAGACCAAAAAAGAGCTCAAGCATTAACATAACAAACAACAAAACTAAACAATTGCTAAAACAAAACAAAACCAACAACTAAAGACAGGGACCAACCAACAACAACAACAACCACTACAACGATCAACGATAAACGATGAACGATGACAATCGAAAGCCCCAAAAAGGAAAGTGAATTTTCCAAATAACTCCCAAAGGGGTAGGACTCGATCCGGACAACAGATCTTTGCCTGCACTGACTATCCTATCCGCACTTACGCCCCCCATAGCAATCCCTAGCAAGTCCAAGTTAATTTCTAATTTATTTAAAATGAGTTAAGTAAAAGACATCCTCGAAAGGAGATGATTGAGAGTTTGGTGCTAGTCAAACTATCTGCAAAAAGAGTACGAAAAATGCAACTGCAACCATTTCAAGCTGCACGCTGCACAATTGTCCACACAACCCACAACCCACAGCCCCCCACAAAAATGTAACGCACCTTTTGTTGAGTTATTTACGCACGGACTGTTTTTCACCTGACTAAGAATTGCAAGAGCAACTGTACCGCACCAAAAAAAAAACAAAACAAAACAAAACACAACACAACAGCAACATGTTTAATGCCCAAGCACAAAATGGTTGGAAAAGAGAAGACAAAGAAGATGATGATAAAGAAGACAAAGATGAAGAAGGAGAAGGCGCTGATAATGATGATAATGATGAATCCATTCCAGAGAAGAAGCAGAGCAGGAGCAGTGGCCAGTGGCCAGTGGCCAGTGAGAGCTGTGGCCAGAAAGAGACAACCACCATTTAGAGCTGCTCTCTGACCGCCTCCTGCTCTCTTTCGCACTCTAACCCCCTGCCCAAAAAATCTATTATCTATCTCTCTCACACACACAAACACACAAGCACACACACACTTATAGCTAAATTGATGTAAAACAGCAATAAGAATTGTTCACTTAGTGTAATTTATTTATTTGTAGTTGTAATTAAACACCATAATTTCTCAGATTCGGAATTAATTATCATGATGTGAAAACACACACACATATCTATCTCACTATGTCGCCTCCCCCCCCCACCCAAACTATCTATGTCTATCACTCTCTATCTCTCTCATGCACACACACCCACGCACTATCGCTATCTTGCTTTCACACATTTGGCTTACAATTGAATATTTTTTTGGTACGAAAAAAACAAAAACAAAAAAGAATTTTAATATTTCTGGCTTTTCCTCGCTATCTCTTATTTCGGCTCGTATAATTTTCCAAACGTAAATAACGCAAAAATTTTTGTTAATTAAAAAATTAATAACAACAACAACAACAACAAAAAAAGAAGAAAAACATCAACAACAAATTGTAGCTAAAAGTTGAACGCTTGAAAGGCAGCAGCGCAAAATTTCACATAAAAAACAAAAGAACAAAAGAACCATAGAAAAATGTTAAACTTTGCGTTTTAGGTCATTTAATTTGTAATTTATTTATTATTTATTTATTTATTTATTATTTATTGTACAAAACAAAACAAAAAAAAAACAACCGAACAAAAACCACAAATCAAGCAAGAAGAAGATGAAAAAACACAACACAAAAATTTGCTTAAATAAATTTGCGAAAATGAAATTAATTGTATAATTATTTTGTGTGTGGAATCCCTCGGAGGAGAGTATGTACTTTCAAGCGTTACCTTAGGCGAGGATATCGGTACTGTCACTGTCACTGTCACTGTCTCTATCTGTATCTGTATCTCCCCTTCTCTCTCTCTCTCTCACACACATACACGCTCATCATTAGCTCTGCTGCTGCTACGTCATTACTGTAATGTTCCGTACCGTATCTATTTCCGTACTTATACCATCCATCCCGCTTGTCTGCTGCTGTAACATTCGCTCTAATTAGTTCGACTCTGGCTCCTGCTTCTACTGCAGCTGCTCTCCCATGTATTTGTGTATCCCCGCCCCCTATAAGCCTCTCCTTCCACCCACATGGCCTTTGCAACACGGCCACACAATTATCTATTTTAGAATATGTCGCTTTAAATTTAAAATTTTTGTGCTTCAATTAACAAACACAGAAAAGGGCAAATGCCCCCGGCCCCCCGCTCCAACACACGCCAGAGTGTGGGCCGAGTGGGCGAGTACTTAACAGACTCACTGTTTTTGTGGGGTAGGCAGGCAGGCACGAAGCAGGGTTCGGGGCGGACCAGGGCTAACATGCAAAAAGTACATTAGTACCTCATCATGTCCTAACGGTGGTCGAGTTTCCGATTATATCCGCCTGTGGATGGGGGCTCTCGAGCCCCCTCTGATGGGCCTCCTCCAATGGAACAGGCACTGCCGGGATGGTGGGTCACTGCGATAAGCAGGTGAAAGACAGAGATTAGATCTAACCAGAGGGTGGGATATTTCTGGAATAATTGCATGGCCTCGCTGTGATGGATAACCCACTGAAGAAGTCACTAAAACTAATCCCATTAACAAAGGGAAAACTTCGAATAAATACCATTTCGACGTAGAGAATATCAAACTTTATAAATCAAATATTTCTATATATAAAAGTCTTACAAATACCCAATAATAATTCTTGAACTTAAACTAAAAGTAGTCACTTTTTGGCAATAGCTGCTGTTTTGTAATCTGCTTCTAAATATAGCTTTCTTAAACTATTATTGGGGTCAGGTGAAATGGCTTTTCTTAAATAGAAATATGCGACAAATCACTCAATTAGCAAATGATAAAGTAGCCAAGATTATTTTCCATTAAGCCACGCGATGAATTATTATCGGGGGGCAATCAATCGCTGCGCCCATCCCTGACAAAGAGCTATAATTATTTCTATCTGAATGAGTGCGGTGAAGGAGGGGAGTGGACGCCTGATTCTGGCTTCAATGTCAATGTTTTTTTTTTGTATGTACATTATTTTGCTAATTCCCCCACACCAACAAACACACACACGCACACACAAACACAAACACACACAGAGCATAGCAGAGCAGAATAATCACTGTCCCTGGGCCTGTCTGTCTGTGTGTTGTTGTGGTTACAACGAACATCAGCTTATGCCCACATAGATGAGCTTACGCTTTCGCACTTGAATGTAATTAGAGGCTGAAAACATAATGAAAAGCCCTCACACAAACACAAACACACGCACACACACAAACACACATAATCACTGAAAAGGAAAAACCACAAAAGCTTCCTCTTCACAAGCGACCTTTGTCTCCGCTCCGCTCCCCCCACCCACACCTCTCTCCGCAAATTGAACTTTCATTGCGTATGCCGATCCGAATTAATGTGCATTCCTCTCCGTTCCTGCCCACCTTCGTACCCCTGACACACAACTGACGCTGACGCTGGCGCTGCAGGTGACCTGAAGAACAACGTCATCGACATGTCTACGGATGCGTTCCAGGCGCGGCATAACCACTTTATCGACGCCATCTTCTCGCGCATCAATCGCATCGTATCCGACAATTATGATCCCTTTGTGGTGCGTCTGGCCGGACGCGCAGCCACGCCCACCGCAGGCAGTGCCACAACGGTGAAGGCCTCCACCAACAAGAACAAAGGCACCAAGACCGGCGGACACAAGAAACTGTAAGTAGTAGCAGGCGGCAGAAGAAAAACACTCTCAAAAATTACTCCCAAAAATATCCACAGAAATTAAATTAAATTTCGCAACTTTTCAGAGAAAATATTCTTTGGATATTTATATATACTTAATTTTGTTGATAGTTTAAGCTTTAAACTAAAACTAGCATCATTCGGATTTTTTGAATATTTATCCAAACATTTTCAAAAAAATTCAAAGAAAAGTCAATGAAAAGTTCGCAATGCGTGCGTAATCCGCTTAAGTACTTGGGGCTGTTTTAAAAGTCACTCAATTTTCGTAGATTCTCTCTCCAGAAGCAGAGTGAATTGATGCAAATTTTCGTGAAATTTCTTGCAGCAAGAACACACGCTCCGAGCCAAGGGCCAACAATCAGGCAAAGGAGGAGGACGCTGGCAAATTGCAGGAGCAATTGATGCAATTACAGTCGGAGCTGGCCATCAAAGCCATCGAAAAGAAGCCCGTTGCCGCTGACCAGGCCGCAGTTTCGGCCTCTACTCCTGCCATGGCCACTGATTCCGATGCACCCAAAGCGGAAGTGCGCACAGTGTCCGGTGGCAAAAGCGGCCAAAAGAAATCCACTGCGAACGCGGCGGCGGGCGCCTCAACTCAGACCCACAAGACCCGCAACACCAACAAAAAGGCTTCGGGTACGACAGCTGTGAAATCTGGCAACTACAATCAGCCGGCGGGTGCCAGCAAGGCCGGTGATGTAGAGAAGCTGCAGAAGGCCGAGGGCAGTCTCTCTGGGCTGGCCTCCCTCAAACGGGTGGGAAATGTGAAGGTTGTCAGCGACGCGGAGGGACGAAACTCCACGATTAAGGCAAAGTTCACGCTGGGTCCGCTGATACTGCGTGTGGAGAAGTCCTTCAAGCGCGGCAGCGTGAGGAGCGTGAAGAGCGCCACGGCCAGGACCAACGAGATGATCGGACGCATCAAGTTCAGTGTGGTGGACGATCGGGCCACCCTCATGTCCATCAAGGTGCAGCAGCCCAAGCAGGTGAGTCGCGTCCGCTTTCATTGTCCTTTGTCCAATTAACCTTTGACTTCTGCTGTGTATTGCAGGTGGAGGTGGAGAGCAAGGACAATCACGATAGAACACGCGAATTCGTGTGGCGCCGCACGCCAAAAATTGCCAAATTGGTCAACGAGAAGCTCAAATTGGCCGCCGAATCGCTGTTTGCGCCGCAGGGCGTTGAGGTGGTACGGCTCTAAAGCAGATTTAAAGCATAGAGAATAAAGGGATGTGCTCCTTGTCGTCCTTCTCCTTCAACGACTCTTCTCAGCTATCTAAATTGTAGTCCTACGCTTTAATGTAATGTGCCTAATTTATTTATTTATTTAATTTATTAACCTATCCATTTATCGGCCCCATCTATCGATAATAAATGCAACTCTGACTCTGCAAACATGTGCATTGAATGTACTTCGTTTCGATTGTAGATGACAGACTGGAAAGTATCTCTCTGAAAATCACCTAAAATATTCTCATCAATTTGTTATTTATTATTTATTCACTTATTGCCCCCCGCTTCTGTTCATGCAATCTGTTGACCCAACTGTACTTCATTTTGTTTGGAAATTGTAGGAAATTAATTGAATGCCTCCAGGGCGGGCACAAATTAAATTTACCAAGCTCCCAAAATGACAGACAATCTTGTCCAATTATTTCATAATTATCTTTTTGTACCCATTCGATCTCTCCCTCTCTCTCTCTCTCTCTCCCTCTCTCTCTCTCTCTCTGGCTCTGTGTCCATCTGTTCTTACTGTTATCAACATGCAACTCTGTCTACATCTTGCCTCAACTATGCCTGATTTGCCAGTTAGCAAATGCCCTGGCTAACCCATTAAACCCAATTTAGTTGGCAATTATCCAAGATCACCTGAAGGGGCAAGCAACGTCAAAAAGGTAAAACGAATATTGCACAGAAAATGACTAAAAATATTGCCCTATTCTGAAAATGCTTTTCCCCCAATTGCCTTGCCCGTAATGCCTGCCGCCCCACTTGCCCCACTGGCCCTTCCCGCATTGTCTGTAAATAAAGGTGCAGCAATGTCGCCCTCCCAGTACCAGTGGCAGTCCCGGTCCCTGGTCCCCATCCCACTGTGCCGTACGGTACCTACTATCTGTGTCAGGTCGCTTGCAGTTTTCATTAATGTTGCAGGCTGCATGTGGCATGGCACAGGAGGCGCTTGCATAGGATGGTGTCCGGCTGGTGGGTGGGAGGCGGACTGCAACAGGATCCTTCGAACAAAGTAAATATGAGTGCGTTGTATATTGTGTTGCAACCCAAGGCGGAAGGACATGCAATTTGTTGTTGTTTGCCTTTGTTGTTACACTAGCTATCCCTCTCTCTCTCCCTCTCTCTCTCTTTCTCTCTATTTCTGATTATGCCTGTCTCTGTCGCTCATCCTGCATGCTGTTTGTTTTTGTCTTGTCCTGTCTGAGGGGGACTGTGACTGGGGCTGGTTCTGGTTCTGGTTCTGGGTATGGGTATGGGGCTCGTTGCTGCTCTTTGTTGCACCTAAATTGACAACAATATCGTTTCATTTGCTCACTGAAGTGAACTCATCAGTGCCCCCAGTCCTATATGACTATCCCATCCGGCAAACTTGCCCGCACCAAGACACACACCACACCACACCACACACACACACAACCCCCACAGCCACACCCACACCCACACTTTGGTACTACATTTTTTGCCAGCTGCTACTGCTGCTGCCTTCGCTTGATTATATTGGCTAGGACCAAGGACGACACTCTGGACATTGTGTTCGGACTTAAAGTTTACACCGATTCGCTGCCGATTCCCTGTTGCTGATTGCTGATGCATGGACCACTCCAGCAAGCCCAAAAAAAAAGAAATATATATATATATAACAAGTTGCAACAATTTAAACAAATTCAATTGTCCAGGGAGGGGGCAGGAAAACTCATTTGCACTTTTGCCTGCTGTTTCCCCAGGCCAGGCCCAAAACCCAAAAACCAAATACGACAACAACAACAACAACAAAAAAAAACGAATATAAAACTGACAACAACAACAAAATAAAAAAAAAATGTAACCATTTTTGCAACTGAAAATTCTTGAGCTTAAAATTTGCATTTGTTATTACTTCGTCGGTTTTGCAGTTGCAATTGTTGAATATGCAACAATGCCCCAGCACAGAGCACAGAGCACAGAGCACTGAGTCTGCCTAACGGCCCCAAGCTCTGCCTCTGCTTCTGCCTCTCTCTCTTCCCCCACCCCTTGGCTATAACTCGGTTACCAGATTTAATTCCAAGCCAGATTCTGATTGTAATACAAAGTGGGCGGAATGACGCCCAACTGTTTAGCCAGGGGAGAAGACAGGAACAGACATAGAACATTTTCATAAATCATAAAATGTTCGCTCAACAAATGAACTACATTTTGTGTGGGTCCCTAAGCTGAGCAGCAAAGTTTGTGGGGTCGAGTGACTTGGGCAGCTTCCAAATGAAAGATGGATTGATGATGTATTGGCATTCATTGCTGGGACTTTGACTTGGGGCTTCACTTCTTTTTCGAGGATCAATCATAAGAAAAACAAAGAAGGAAAAATACCCAAGTGGCTCTAAAAATAGACAGAAGAAAAAGAGTTTTGACAACATTTACTTGACCGGCTAGACATGGGCCACATTCAGGTACATTCGCATGAGGTTTATTAGCCGTTTTAAAGTCGTTCCCATAAGCGAATATAAGTGAAAAGCAAATATTAAATCACATATTCTCTATCAAATATCCCCTCTCCATGTTTCATAGAGCATTCCAAATTCTCTGCTTTGCTAAAGCACAAAAATCTCCTGCAACAATATTTTCCATGCAACTAAATTGGAAACTTTTGGTTCTCTGGCATTCCATAAAGTTTCGAATGTCCAGAAAAGGCTTTACAGGGCGATTGGCGTTCATTAGACTGGAGCTGGAGCTGGAGCCTGCTCTCACCTAGAACTTGACGCAAACGCCACCCAACATCCAGCACCACCCAGCACCACCCAGCACCAACTAGAACCCAGCAGTGACCTCCTTCACCCAGAAAACCAATATACTCAGACGGCTCGGACAATATGTGTGGAAAGTTGATAGCTGGGAAAAGGCTGCGTGTGTGTGTGTGTGTGTGTGTGTGTGGTGGGCGTCAGGCTTGATAGGAGTTGTGTGGAAAGTTGTCTGAAAGAGTGTGGGGGAAACGGTGGGAATTACAAGTGGAGGCTGTGGCTGTGGCTGTGGCTCAAGGTCAGCGGGTGGTTGGACGTACATTAATCGGCTTGTTTAATTAGCTCAGTAAGCTGCACCTGGATGGGCATTAGCGGCTCAGTCGAAATAAGATTCTCTGATTGAAAGTGTCCTGGTCGCGGCTTGCCACAAAAGCGACAACTAATTGCCACATAATCAACAACAGAACCACCAGCAGTGCCACCAGCAGCGCCACCAGCCACGAAGTAACCACAACAACAAGGGACAACTATTGGATGGGTTACACTGAGAGAAAAGGGAATACATTTTTCATAGGAATAAATAAATAAATAAGACTTGACTGCCATAGTTTTGCAAATGTCAAAATCACAATTTTGGTGCCTTGAAATACATTTTTGCCCAAGTGTAATGATGGGGGGAGATTGCCGGAGGCTCTGCCCATCGGATTTTGAGCACTTGCGCTTTTTACCAACTCAATTTACGCTAATTACTGCCTTTCGCCCCAGCGATAACTGCTGTTAGCCGCCGCCCCGCTGCTTCCGTAACCCATAACCCTCCCTGGGGAGCAGGAACGCGGGATCTGGGATCTGTTATCTGGTCTCTTTTTTTGGGGTACATGGAAAGAGCGGGAGCGGCAGCCCATCTACGTTCAGCCCAGCACCCGTTGCCCATCTGCGGCAAATTTCCATACGCCATGTGAATTTATATTGTCATTAGCTCTTTTTATGCAAAACTTCTTTCCGCTCGCTGAGTGTATTTTATTGAAATTTCTGCCTGCTGGCCACATTAACGAATTCGCCGTTGAAGAAAGAGAGAACAAGAGCATGATTTAAAATTAAATATATATTTCATTGGCATGCGCGCTCTTAGCTTAAATTTTGCTGGCTGGCTGGTTGGTTCTCTTTGGCACTGACCTAAAGGCCGTTCGTTTCGCTTGGGATAGTGTCAGTGAGGCTGTGATAAGGGGGATTGTTAATTAAGATACTGCTGTTGATTTGAGGGAACTATCTTAATGATGGATGCACCTAAATCATTTTCCAATGCTGTTACTTATTTTCCGATTCCTATTCAAATAAATGCAGCCTGAGCCCCCATCTACTTACTGTGAGGCATATCTTAAGTGCTTGCCATAAACATTAATTTACGCTCTCAAGTGGAATATCATTAAATAAATTTTTATTAAGCGCATAGCAATAATTCTACACCATAAAGTCTTTTCACCTGTCTCCACTAATATATTTATTACCGATTGCTGAAGCTATTTCCAACATTTTATTGTTAGACCTTGAAAGAGAGCATTTATAATCAAAATATAAAGAGAGCACAAAGAGGCAAAAGAGAGAAAAAGAAAACCCAGGGGCTATTTATAAAAAGGTGAGGACAATTTTGTATCACTTTCCTTTTATTTTCTGTGAGAGAACGAAACTCGAAGAGCAGAAATTCTTCACCATTTATTAATATACAATAGAAAATATGCTTAGAATGGCAACAAAAGAGAGAAACAAAAGAGAGAGGCAGTTTGCAAACGAACGAAAGAGAGTCCTTCTCCTTGCGGCGAATTCGGCAAGAGCATGCAGTTGGAGCTCGGCTCAGTATTGGCGGCTCGGCCAACATACCCACTCCCAGCCACACGAAGCGCAGCCGAGCCGTCCATCTGCTCGCTGCTGCTGATAAAGGCTCGTGTGCGCTCGGCCGCCCCTCTTTCGGCTGTCCGCTGCTTGCCTTGGGCCTCCGCCATGGACGAGGGCCCCAAATCAGTTTCAGTTTTAGCGCGACATTCGACAGCGAACGCAGGCAAAGGCGGCGCCCCACAACGCGATAATTATTGAGAATCACGAACCCAACTCCAAGTCCGGGGAATTCCCCAACGCAAAGGTTTCTGAAAATGTAATGCCCAACAAAAAATGTGAGACGCGAAACTATCTACAATCACCATCACCATCACCAGATGGGTGTGCATATACGTGTGTGACTCAGTGTGTACGGCTGTGTGTGTGTGTGTGTCAGCGGCGGAAGGAGGCGAAAATTGGGTCGTAAATTTTGGAAAACGTGTGAAAACGCAGGAAAAGCCTCATTGCCTCATTGCCTCATTGCCGGCAGACCCCCTAAACAAAAATACAAATAAATTGAATGACCTTTTGTCGCATTTGTCGCTGTTGTTGTTCCAGTTATTGTGGCTGTTTTATTTTTGTCGGACAGTTAAGTTAAAATGCGCTCGGCACGCGAATACTTTATGACATCGTCTTGAATGTTATGTACGATTTCGTTTCGAAAGAAAAACCAAGAGAGAAACACCCAAAAATTTGGTGCGTGTCAGCTGTGTGGCAGGCGACAAAAAAATAAAGAAACCAAGAGACCAGACCTGACCAGACCAGACCAGACCAACAGAAGGAGAGTCGCAGCCAAACAAATTATAAAAGTGTTAAACGCCCACACAACGACCTCCAGCCCCGCCTCCTTTCCATACAACACCTACCCACCGCGTCTCATTAGCATGCAGCAAATTAAGTTGTTTTATATTTAGACAAAGGAATGAGACAGCAAGCAGGAGAAGCCCCAAATAATGCTCGAAAGAGACCCCAAATATAAATTAACAAATTTGGAACAACAAGAAAAACAAGAACCAAAACCAAAGAACCAAATCTTTGATCTGTTGGCTACCGCCCCCTTCCCCACCCCTACACGAAAAGCGCGCGTCAAAACAGAAATTGTTCGCCGTCCCAAATGGTATATCGAACATTAATATATATTCCCGTCCCCCGCCCAAGTGTAATACAATATTTGCTCAACAGAGACGGAAAAAGAATGTGACAAAAATTAATAGAAAACACATAAAATATTAAGGCAATGCACAGTGAGAAAAATGTAGTGATTATCTGGCTATGAATACGAGTACGAGAGTATAGTGATTTGAAGAGATTCGAAATTGAATACGAAAGATCTTGAGACCCAAACATTATTAGAGTAAACAAAAGTGAATGAAAGATTGAAAGAGTAAATATACTCGTAACTATTTGTAATAATAAACAACAGATCCTTGATATTTCTTTTATTTTTATTGAATAGAAAAAAAGTCTGGGTTCCCCCTCTTCGCCATTTCCCATGCTTAAAACTACTCTACAATTTCTCACTCTGCTGAAAAAAGCAACGGAAATGAAGGGAAATTTATGTTCTTGCGGGGATGGAGGGTCTGGTGCCAGCCTCTGATGCTGTTTGCCGATCACACTGCGTATGCGCAATGCGTTAACATAAAAGAACTACGCACAATATTCTTATTCAGTATATCTTTGTGTCTGCCTGCTTAAGAAAATGAACTTTTGTTTCAACTGACAACAAAAGGAAAAAACTTTCGCTGGTAAACTTTTCACACACACACACTCACATTCACACATTCGGCTGTTGCAGAAAAAACACTTGAGGCAAAGCGAATGAAAATAAGAACAGTGGAAATTGTCAAGTGTCAAGTGCTTTCAAGGCTTTTCTTTTTCTTCTTTATCTGTTTGTTTCACAGAAATGTTGAGAAAGTCCTAAGTCCTGTTATGGGATTTATGTCTTGATGAAAACTTTTTTAAAAAGCGCTTGCTTATTGGTTTCATGGTTGGATTAAAGTGGTTCAAGTCAGAATCAATGATCAACAAATACATTTAGATTCTGTTGAGTTTCTGAAATGATTTAACTCGTTTCTTTATCTTATTTTGTGTCTAAAGAGATTGGAATGTATCTTTAAATGGATCTATGATTAGTCTCTTTATCCATTCTATAATTATTGTGTACTTTCCTTTTGTCTGCCCCAAAAGCCAACCAAAGTACCGAAACGAAAAGCTTTCCCAATAAAATATTCATACGGTACGAATTTACTGCCACACAATAGGGAAAATAACAATGAGAAATGAGAACAGGGGAAGGAGGGGACGCTGTGGGTGAACCCGGAACTTAAGTTGCTTCCTAATCACAGATACTGAGCATTAGAGCAGGAGCACACACACACACAAACACACTGCCTCAAGGACGAGGACAACAAAGTGCAGACGTTTACAATTAAAGAGGGAGAGAGAGCGAGAGGGTTACCAGAGGATACTCGACTCCAGCTCATGCCTGGTGGCCTAGGGCAACATTTAGCAGTGCGAAAGAGAGAGTGAGAGAGTTAAGAGTTAGACAGAGAAAGGGATGCCAAGAGACTGCAACAATTGAGTGCGTTAACACTTTTGAGAGGCATTTGCTGACGTTGCTGGGTAGTCTGGAAATGTGTCTCAGTCTTGGAAACCTGCCACTGCTGCCACTCCTGCACTCCTGCACTCCACCCACCTGCCGCCCTCTCTAATTCCATTACGGAAGCAACAGTGACAAGTGGCTGGGGTCCCCGGCCAAGGACCCAGAGTCCAGTAGACAATCTGTCAGCAGCAGCAACTCCTGATTGAAGCCACACAGGAGATGGCCATGGCCATGGCATGGGATTCCGTGGGATCTAGAGATTGGACTTTACCTCCTCTCATTAGTTTCTCCAGCACCCTCTCGAGAGGGGGGAGTTTGCAATTAATTAAGTTTTAATTAATTTCACACAGCCGACGAAGAGAAACGCAGGCGGAAAAACTGTACTGCTGGAAAAAAGAATTTTTCCCAGAGGCGTGTGAAAAAGGCGATTTCTCAGCAAATGTTTAACAAATTAGAAGCCAGGGAAATGGTAAAGTTAAACTAAACTTTTCTCTAGTTTTCCCCAGCTACCATATACCAAGGGGATGGGGGACAGAAAATTGATTGATGCCAAAGTGGTTGGATGGGTGGATGGATGGATGGCTGGATGGATGGATGAAAGTGGGGGTCCAGAAATAGCCAGAGACATAGTGAGAGGCGTGACAGGATATGGCTTGCTTTGTCCATTTTCCCATTTTCCTTATTCCGTATTTGAGCTGCTCGTCGGCATTTATTTTCGGACACCGAAACCTAAACTCGGGGACACATGCGATCCAAGTCGCTGGAGTCGAGACTTATGAAATATGCAACGAACATGACATGAGCTGAACCCCAAACCGCTTCTAGTTTATCCATTAACAATTATTAATTGTATGATAGGACAAACTTTATTTTGTGAGAGGAGGAAAGGGTTGGGCGTTGCCCCTGGAAAACCTTCGGTCTAATTTTTGGTGTAAACTTTAGAGCCCAAGGGAATGCTTGGAGTGAGAAAAGTAGGTGAAGGTGACAGGAAAATTTAAGCAGCGGAAAGAGTACTTCATAGATGGAAGAATGAGGCATCAATATTGCACCCTCCTTCTAAAATGGTATGGCCCAATAAATTCGGAAAATCACTCACTCTTTGGCAGCCACTTCTAAAGTTTCCAGCATCTTTAAAAATATATATATATAAACCCTATACCAACGATTACAGCCCGGCATCCACTCATCAGGCATTCAATCGATAAGTGTTGCTTTTGGTTTAGTTTTTGTGCGGCCCTAAGAAGCTTTTGCTGGCTCTTTTGGAACGGAAAATTGCATTTCCTGCCAAGAGTTAGTTAAGAGTTTTCCTCTTGCAACAAAAGAGGCTGCACATTCGATCAAAATCTGGCTTATCCAAAAACAAATTTAATCAATTTATGTTCCGTTGCCATAACATGGTCAAATCCCCCCGTTAAAGCTCAATGAAAATCCATTTTTGGTTGGGTTCCAAGCTAAAAACGAAAATGAAAATTCCGGTCTGGGGAATGCGAGAGGGGGGAAAGCAAAATAAAAATATTATTCAGGCCTAGGACCGGGTTCGGTCCCAGCGAAAAGTGCAAACACAATTGCAACATCAACAGCAACAAGGACACGGGGCATGGCAATGGCAAAGGCAACGGCACCGGCAACGGCAGCATCGAGTGCAGAAACAAGGACAATACAGCATACAAAAAGTTCAACAAACGAGCGTTAAAGGATTAAATTGTCTGCCATTGATATTAAGTGTTTTAAATGTCATTGCAAGTGTTTAATTCACGAGCGGAAAAGAGAGCAAAAAGACAGAGAGAGAGAGAGAGAGAGAGAGAGACACTGGCAACTATGGCCACGCGGAAGAGACAATGGGAGTTATTGTTGATAGTGTGCGAAAAAGAGGAATAAACTCAATATAGTATACTCGTATCTTCCCCAGAGATTGCCATAGATCAAAACCTGAACAAAAACACAACCAAAGTGAGAATTGATAGCACCACAAAGCAAAACCGATAAAGCGGGTATAAAGCAAAAGCAATAGAAGAAGGGAATTGAGGAAAGAGACTAGAACAACTGACTAGAAAGTGAAGCCACTCCAAAAAGGGTCATCGCAAGATGTTGACCCTGTGGACGGCGCTCTTCTGCTGCCTAACGGGTAAGTTGATCGCTCAAGAACTTGTTTTCTATTTATTTACTAACTGATTTCCAGCAGTTCTAATAACTAAGAACTATATACTATACTATACCATACCCGAATATCTCTTAGCGAATGGTTTTCCTTTTATTTTTGCTTATGGGAAATGTATGCAGCGAAACACCATCATTCCACGCATAAAAATAAATTCAAGTGAATGGCCTAAGGACATATTTGGAATTCAATTAAAGTTGATTGAAACTGAGATTTCTGCGGGATTACTTTAAGAACAAGGACGCTAAGCCACAGCCACCCATCTCCTATTCGCGTCACTCACGTTTGAAGAAGGGGAAATGGGAATGGCAATGGCATAGGTAAAGCGTTCCTTCGTACATCCCACCTATCCCATATCCTGTTTAAGCATGCATGAGATTATCAGCGATATATGTACAATGTACATACATATATGTACGTGGGTACAGAGGGTACACACCCTCCTCAAGGTTATTATTGCTGCTGGCTGCCACAGCAATGAATCCTTTTAAAAACATTTGTGGTTCAGGCTGTGAAAATCCTGATTTATGTTTCTGCCTGCTGCGTTGTCCTTGCAGTCAGTCCTCCTGTTCTGTTCTGTTCTTTTCTTTTCTTTTCTGTTATGTTCGGTTCGGTACGCAGCAGGGGCAGAAGGGGAGCAGAATGAGAGTCTGGGGGAGAAAGAGGGCCAAAGCAAACAAATGCGGTCGCTGCATGGCTCGCTTGGGGTCGCCTTTGGGGCATATCGCATAACAGCGGCGGCGGCAGTGGCAATGGCACTGGCGCAGGCTGGCTCCAATGAGGGATGTGCCAGGCAGGGTTGACAGGCCGAGGGTCGTGTCGTGTCACTGCACTTTAAATTTTAAACGCAGCCAAACGCATAGCAGAACACAACACAACACACAAATTGCTCTCTGCTCTCTACACATAATTATGCATAATTGAAAAGTGTAATTATGGCTGGGACTCTCACTCTCTCTCTCCCTCTCCCTCTCTTTCTGTGACTTTATGAGCCGCAAACTGTAAGCTCAATCAAGCGAGCAGGCAACAGGCAAAAGGAACAGCCAGGAACAGTCGAAGAAAGATCTTGTGGAACCACCCACCCACACCCAGCAATTCACTCAAGCGCAATGTTTATGACTCGCAAGTCCTTTTAATTGCCACCGCCTGCTGCAGGCTTGAGTGAAAGCCAAGAAAAAAGTAGGAAAACGAGTCAGGAGTCCAAAGAACAGCGCAATAAAAGCAGAGAAGATATATGGGTAGGGGTAGGGGTATTATCCTGCCACAAACATACTTTTCTTCGAGTATCTGCCTAAGATTGCTGGTTTGTCTAGTTGCTCGGCCGCAAAATGGCAAACTAAAATTACTTTTTAAATGCTTCTTTTAAATAATTATCAGCAAGCGGTACATCCATTCACCTCCAAATATATTCACTGATTTTAGTTAATTTAGTATATATTTATCTGACCTCAATAAACAATAAAATAAAACAGCACTAATTAAGTATTTGCAATCAATCTTTAAATTTATATTAAGAGAGCAATCAAGTGGTCATATTTAGTCTCATTTAAAAATACAATTAATACAATTAATTTTCGATATCTCATTAATTTATGCCAATTAACAGATATGCATTTATGGTTAATACATTTAATTATAATTAGTATCAGACAATAATTGATTTTATCCGCTTTTTTTCCAATTAATAACTGAAATGCATTGTTATCTGTCAATAAGTGATGCATTGATGTTAGTTAAAAATGTGGATGTTATCCTTGGATAACATACATACTTATATGAATTATAGAAGCATTATTTCTATCAGCAATTTTTTTTTTTTATTATGTAAAGTAGTTTGGTAATTTTCATAAGAAGGGAAAACTTCTACATAAGAAGTCAGCAATAATTTAGAACTTTCACAGCGATAAATTATCGGTGAGGTAATCAACGCTTTCTGTGTAAGCAAAAACACTATCGAACGTGGGGCAAGCTGACTTTCAGTCTGTCCTTTTCTTTCTCCCTCACTGGCTACCCCTCGACACAGAGAGAAAATTTTGTAATAAAAGAACTGAAGATACTCCGTGTCGCTTAAAATTAAGTCGCATATCAAGAACATTTTTGTAGGCAGCCGTAAGCTAACTTGTAATATTTTAATATTAATCAATGTTTAATGTTTTAATCATTTTTAAAAACTTTTTAAGCTCCAAAATTGTTGTGTTTTTTTTTTCTCAGTGTAGCTCTCTATTTAGTGTCCTTTTGTTTTGTGTGTGTTTTCCTGCCAGCCTGCCTGCTGCCAGTGTTGCCATGTGTTTTTATTGCATTACTTTTTATGGTCGCTTAGTTTTGTTGTTCTTTGTTTTAGGTTGTATTTTGTTGTCGCTGTTCTTGTTTCTCATTCACTCACAGTTGTTGTATTTTTGTTGCTGCTGCTGCCGCTGCCGCTGCTTCTGGCGTTACCGTCGACTGCTTTTGTTTTACTTTGCCGCTGCGTATGCCCCAAAGTAATAAAGCGAATTGGTTTCCTTCAAATAATTTCCATTTTAAATCCAGTTGGCAAATCCAGCACAGTGCCATGCCCCCATCACCCACCCGCCCTCCTTTTTGGGGATTGTTGTTCTTAGTTTTTTTGTTGTATGTTGTTGTTATTTTTGTTGTGTGCGCTAAGGAAAAGTGGCTTCATTTTCCCGCATAAAATTGTTGCCAGAGAGTTGTGGGCCCCGAGATTTGTTGTCGTTTGCCTAAAAGTGGCATGTGGCATGGGGAATGGGGCATGGGGCCAAGTACGGTATTTGCAATTGTTTCTTTTACGCTTATCCTTTGCCTCAGACTTAGCTCTTCTTCCTGCTCCTCGTCCTATATTTATTCAGAGTGATTTCTTATCCCTCTTTTTGTGCTGCTTGGTTTCCTCTGCTCCTCCTACTTATAGTCCTTGATTTCCTTCCTTCCTCTCTTCTTATTTCGCTTGATTTGCCAAGTCGTTGGATCCTGCATCCTGGATCCTGGCTGACTGTCAGTTGTCAAAGTAGGCCTCAAAATTTAATTGAAATTTAGTGTAAACACAATGACAGGCAGTCGATTATCCTGCCTTTGAGAATCCCCCTCCTTCTGCCGAATACCCTCTCCTGCTCCAATTCCACTTCCCGTTCGCAAACATATTTCCTGGTATATATTTCCCGGTCTAAGTCCTTTTGCGCGCAAATCCTGTCAACTTTTGGCCTGACTTTCCAATTTGCCAGCGTTTCGCCCCTTGTATATGTCAAAAAATTTGTAGCTCGCTGCCTTTTGTACCCCGTTTCGTCGTCTCGACAAAAAATTTCACACGTGTCACTGAGCATGGAGTTGTTGCCTGTCAAGATGCCACAACCCTAGAATCCCGACACACAGACCAGACCGCCCCCGCAACACCCGATAACACTGCTGCCAAGACAACCGACTAACAACAGCAGTTGTTGCCAATGCTGCTTTAACATTCACTCACAATCCGCACACACTCCACTCCATACCAGCCACCCCACCTCATTCCCCCCACAATTTGTTTGCCTATTTGCTTTGTGCATATGGAAATGAAATGGCAAACAGGAACGCTCTGAAGTGGGGCAAAGAGAGCGAGAGAAAAATTACGTTGACACAGTGAAACACGCACACACACACACTACGCCACGCGCTCTCCCCCTCCCACACACACACACACTAATGCCTTCAGCGATTGGCCTAAGCAGGCTCATCATTTCGCTCTGCCCCCCTTTGGAGCTGTCCGTCTGCCACGCACTCTGGATGAGTGCAGCAACAGTTTAATGCAATCATTCGCTGTCTGTTTTCTGCGTGAAGATTTACAGGCCCATGACCTTTCTTCATTGCTTTTGCAGTATTACTGCTGCTACATATATCGTATTTCGTTGTCCAAAGCCGACGGAGGATGCAGTTGAATTAAATAGAAAACAATTCATTTTATATTCAATATTCAATAAATAATAAAAAGGCTTCCTCTGGCAATCGGAGGAGCGATACCTGGTGGTCCCATGAAATGATCCCGCAAGCGTTCATCCATTAAACCTGAATCTTTGGTTTCTTTTTCTTTGACAAGCAAATTAACAAAGCATTTAATTATTTCACGAGCTTTGGGGCAGAAGAGTGAGTTGGCATTGGAATTGATTGTTCAGATTATTTTGGGCGGTTTAGCAGCGTTTAACCCATCAAATAGTTTTAATTTAATAAAATAATTGATAGAAAATAAAGCTCAAAACATACCAAAATAGTTAAATGCCATTGCTTTTCTGTCATCCCAACTGGAAATTGGTCGGCTGCTGTACAGGCATAATCCTAAAAATCAATAGAGAATTAAGTGTCATTAGAAGTATTAAATTAAAATATATTTTAAATAAATGAAATACATATTGTAAAAAAAGGTATACACTCAACTGAGATTAAAATGTCTGAAAGGTTTATACAGCCTTGGAATTATGTTAAATGTAGCTACAACTTTTACCTTACTGTTTAAAAATAAAGTTGCCTAACTGTTCAAAAAAATATAAACTCATTTAAGCACTTTGCAAATGGAAACACACAAAAACAAAAAGCATCGAGAAAAAACCGCGTTAAGAAAAACATTACATTTAATGTATCTAAATGCAACATTCGCTAACAATTGGTAATTAACGAGCTGCCCACAATTTTTTCTTGTGATGCCTTCTGCTTTCTCAGGTTCCATCTTACCCAGAGGAGGCACCCGCCCACTCAGCCAAGTGGAATTTGTAATCCGAGGCGTTGATTGCCACTTTTAACCCTTTTTTTTTTGTGTGCAACTTGAATAATTCTTGGACTGCTTGTGTTTTCCCCTTTTCCCTTTTGCGGCAATGGCAGTTCATTTGAATTGTTTTTTGTTGGGCTGCCGTTTTGGAACCCTTGTAATGGGGTTGCCTATTTTCAATTTCTCTGTTCATTTCTTTATTTTGCTTATCAGAGAACATCCTCCCACAAAGGATAAAGAA